TCAAGTTTACTAAAAATAATGCTTTGGAACTCTAATGGTTTACTCAAACATTTTAGAGAGCTTGAACTTGTTTTAGCAGCCAGAGAAATAGATGTTTGCCTTATTACTGAAACGCATTTCACACATCATTCATACCTAAAATTTAAAAACTACGAGTTTCATCACGTAGTACATCCCAGTAATTGCGCTCGAGGAGGTAGTGGAATCTTAATTCGGAAATCTCTTAAGTATTTCGTATCCAAAATAATCTCCAATGAAGAATTTCAGGCGATAACCATTACGCTTGATCTGCAATGTAAATTACAAATTACTTCTGTCTACAGCCCGCCAAGGCATAAAATTAAAACAGAGCAGTACAAACAGCTTATTGAAATGCACAAACACCGCTTCATCATGGGCGGTGACTTCAATGCAAAGCATACGCACTGGGGTTCTCGTCTAATCACAACCAAGGGGAGAGAACTTCTAAAAGCGATACAACAAACTGGCTGTGAATGCATGTCATCCAGAAACCCTACGTATTGGCCAACTGATACTGAAAAAATACCAGACCTCCTTGATTTCTTCATCATAAAGCAAGTCTCGACATACATACAATCTTAAAATCGAAGACGGAACCGAACTTAACTCTGACCACTCCCCGGTATACCTTACTACATATGGCTCTCCTATTGTTAACAACGTGACGACTAAAATTGTCAATAAGTCAACTGACTGGAATTACTTTAGAACATTCCTTTCTAATAATATTTCGGCTTCGACTGAAATTTCCGGTGAAGGCGATGTGGAGTTCGAAATTATAGACCTTACAAGAAAGCTTCAACAAGCCGCGTGGTTAAGCACTCCTATATGGAAGAAATCAAACTACCCGCATAGATATCCAATAGCCATATTAGAACTACTACAAAAAAAACGTAAAATAAGGAAAAAGTGGCAACATTCGAGATCCCCAGCAGTTAAAGCTAATTTAAATAGGCTGACTAAAGAACTTACCTCTGAGATCAAGCGCTTTAAAAATAAACAATTCCATTCATACTTGTCTGATTTGACCAATGATCGCAGCACAGATTACTCCTTGTGGAAATGCACTCGAAATATAAAACGTCCAGCCTCTCATAACGCACCAATAAAGACCTTCACTAGCCAATGGGCCAATAGTGATAAAGAAAAAGCTGAACTTTTTTCTGAACATTTAACAAAAGTATTCTCTATTTCTGGTAGTGAGAATAGTGTTGAAACTTGTAATCTGGGTACTAATAGCATAAACAATTTGCCGCCAACTAGCGAGCTTGAAGTAATGATGATAATAAAGAACGAACTTAAGCTAAAAAAAACACCAGGATATGATCTCATAACTGCAGAAATTCTTAGAGAAATCCCAGCGAACTGCATAGTTAAAGTTACTAACATCTTCAATGCTGTTCTACGATTGAAATATCTCCCTTCGTTGTGGAAGGTCTCAGAAATTATTATGGTCCTTAAACCGGGGAAAGATGCAAACGAGGTTAGCTCCTATAGGCCAATAACTCTCCTACCTGTGCTTTCAAAAGTATTTGAAAAAATTATGCTTAAACGAATGTTGCCTTTACTTGAACAACAGCAGACCATACCTATGCATCAATTTGGATTCAGGTGTAATCACTCGACCATTGATCAAGTCCACAGAATCACAAACGTAATCGAAACTGCCCTTGAGGAAAAGAAAGTATGTTCAGCAGTATTCTTAGACGTATCCCAGGCTTTCGACAAAGTTTGGCATACAGGTCTACTAACAAAAATAAGAGACATTTTTCCGTTGGAGTATTTCGATATGGTTTCTTCTTATTTGACCAATCGTTACTTCCGTGTTAAGCATGAAAACGATTACAGTGAACTCCAAAAAATCAACGCTGGGGTACCCCAAGGCAGTGTACTTGGTCCTTTGTTATATTTAATATACACACATGATTTACCAACGAGCTCAGCGACGTTTACAGCGACGTTCGCTGACGATACAGCTGTTCTAGCGATTGGAGATGATGAAATAACAGCAGCCAGGCGTC